CACTCATTATTGCATGAAGCGACAGTGAAGACCGCGAGAGAAACTTCTGAACTTGTTAGAAAAGGATATAGAGATAGTAACAAATATTTATAAGTAGACGTATAAAAACATCGAAATTTGTGTTGTATACGGCTTCTTCCGCTTCTTTCTATGGAGCCCAGGCCGCTTGAAGTTGATTGAAGTGATCGTCAATACGATGAACGTTTTCTTTGGATACTACAGAAGGTTGTTCGATGTTGATTTTCAGGATGCTACAACATGATGCAAAGCGGGTTTTCAACGCTCGTCGAAGACCTCCAATAGTCCACAGCAACCACCAGACCAATATTGCGAGGGAGCTGAAAATTCACGATCAACAATCGGTAGGCTTTCTGAGAAAGCACTTTTTACTGTTCCGAATGACAGCGCTCAATCAGTACCGAGAAAACGCCAGCCCAACATTCCGTAGAGTCGTGGAAGGGGAGGGTCGATTGAGGAAGACTGTAGTAGGCACGAAGAAAGCCAGAGAGTTACTCCGGCGACAGGTGAATCATAATTCGGGAGATTAGTAAGTGATTTTACGCCTGAGGCGGTTACGAACCTCTCAGGATGATTCAGTGTAGCCGTCGGTTCTGACAGAATACCATTGTACTTTCATTTAGAGCTGTGCGTAATCGCCTGAGGTATAAAATCACCAAATTTTCAGAATTTTTGACAAACCTCTTCATGCAACTGTCTCCCTGCTCACAGGTTGGTTCAGGTAGAAAGACAAAAAAATGTTGAAAACAAAGGAGTAGAGTGCTAGTGAGGTTCGGGAAGGGGCAGGTACAATGCAATCTGTCACTGGCTGCAACCAAGCTTTGACTTTCGGAAAGGAAACTCATTCGCTGTGGGAGAAGGTTCATCTATTAAAACCCATCCTCAATTCAGGCTTCTGTCGAGTGCACCTGAAGTTTTCGAAGACATGGATCACCATATCGTAAGAGAACTAACAAAAAAGGACTCACAGAGCCGTGTAATTGTTGAACAATGCATAGAATAACTGTACAAGCGGATTCGTGGCATCGAAAAATATAAATGCTGAGCTAAAAAGTCCGCATCCAAAAAATCCCCACGCTGAATAACCCAAGGAAAGGAACATCAATAGCTAAACAACATAATGAAAACGTGACTGGCTTCTACTGTTTCTATACTGATGCTTTCAAACGAACCCTAATCACTCTAACATTCTCCTCAAGTTGAAATTTGAGGCTTAATGTGTAGGTGACCGTTGATAGACCAGTTTTGTTCGCAAGATCGCGTAGGATGGCCACGTCTTTACGATAGACCATAATGATAGCCACAGATGATAGTGTCATAATAAGTATAGATATCAAAAGCATGACCAATAAGAAAAAGGGTGACATACATGCTGAAATTGAGAATCCAACTCTTAAGAGCAATTCGAAAAAGAGAGTCTGAATAGA